CAGGCATGTCCAAACTCAGGCCCGGGGGCCAATTGCGGCCCTCTGAGTCATTTTATACGGCCCTCTGCCTTGCTAACCCAACAGTGGTCGTTAAGATCGTGAAGCCAAGTTCACAGTGTAATCCAGACATGTTGTACCTGCTTGTGAAGTTCTATTTCTCTGGAATCCGTTGACTTTTTGACTATGGTATGGTGCTGATGTATCTGGTGAGTAAATGTATCTTTGTCATTCAGCCAACTTCAGCTCTGTCAAAGATTAACCAATAATCATTTTACACCTAATATTAAAGCTCTGAACATACTTTACCCTGTTAACCCATGGTGTCGGCCCTTGGGCATTTTTGGTGAACCAAATCGGCCCCATTACTAAAAAGTTTGGACACCCCTGCACAAGACAAGATTAAGCATTAAAATAAATAATCACTGTACATTAAAAATAAAGATGGAGATATAATAAAATCCCTCACTTGCACAGCTAAACCGTTTTTAACCTGGATTTAAACAACTTTCTCTCCAGTTACTCAGATGTATTCTCGAGATGTTATTCCCCAACTTAAACATGTCTACCCTAGTATTTTTACACATAGAAACATTTACATTGTTGTAAAAGTTGTCCTTATTGTACTAAAACTGCCAGAGAGAATAATTAACCTGTCTTGCCTTCTCTGAGCACATTTTTTCCTCCCTCCACATCCATAAATAAATCTCCATGCTAATTAGGAAATAGCTTGCTTTCTTGTCACTGCTACTATGCTTGGTAATTACCCACGCAGATCCCCATAGCTTGCTTTTTATTTATCAGGAGCTCTAATGGAATAGACCTATTGTGTGAGCCTTGATCTGTTTGCAGCGTTTTCCCTTGTTGTTCCGCAGAGCCCCTGATGAATAATGGGGAGAGTATTGTTTGTGTGGCGGTAACCTGAAATCACTGTTTGTAACATGGCAGCCCTCATTCTTTATTCTGTAAACATGTGGGCGAGTAAAGATGCACACGCTCGCATGCAACTGCAGGGCTTAAAGGCAGAGATCGGCAATTTGTGGCAATATGGTAAAAGTGAGTTGTTTTGGCACTCACACAGACATTTTTATTTTGTTAGTCCTCCACAAAATAACATGCAGATTGAACCACGAACTACTGTGAAGTTTGTGTGTGGGGCAGTGATTGTCAGCTTTTTAGGCAACATACTTTTGGCCAGATCCAGGACAGGCCTAAACCAGATTGCTCCCAGAGAGTTTGAATTAGGACCTTATGTTTTCCATACTTACAAGTTCTGAAAAAAAGACAGCCCGGGTTATCTGCTCAGAACTTAAATTCTTGGGTTTCATTAAACTGGCCAGTAGGGGGCGATTGAGCAGAGGTGGGACGACTCAGTTTTGCTCCCATTGAAAACCATGTAAATCGTGTCTGAGTCAAAAGGCTTTCATTCTGTGCGGTGTACGGTTGTTGTAACAGTCTTCATCAGGGACACTCAATTTTAAGGTAGTACTAAAAAAATATTTCTCAAAAGAGTCTTGATTTTGGGCATTTTTGAAAAAGAAAAACAGAAAAAATTGCTGCATTTCATTGGGGTGACCTGCAGGGGGCGCTTATCTGGGAAAGCCTTGATCCACCTCGCCCGCCTCATTCCAGTGATTTTTTTCAAAGTGTCCTCCTTTATATGAGACCACAGTTGGAACATGAACAAACTCTTGTCTTTCCCTCTATTTGTGCGGTTGCTACAAGCGTACACCGCACAAATAGATTTTGACAGCGCTTCTTCTTCTACTATATCTCCGTGTATAAACCCGGAAGACTGCACCGCCGTTTGTTATTTTACGCCACTGCCCTGACGTCATATGACACCCAAGAATAAGCTACTACCAGTGTTATGTGTACCTCAGTTTGAGAATCACTCAAGATCAGCATGCCGTATGAGAGATATCTGAGTGTTGTACCTGTGCTCTGTCAGGTCTGAACAAGCTACGAACGGTGAAACGTGTTCATTCTGAATCCTACATTCTTTTGCTTTGATCTTCATCTGGGGAAAGTGCAAATTACCTTTCAGAGATTGGTGAGTTGACTTATACTCAGGAGAAGCTTAATGTAGAGCTGCTGATCCTTCATCAAAGAGGCCACTATATTCAATCAGGAAATCCAAAAGACTGCAATTATTCTTTAACTTGCGAATCAAAAAGGGAGAAAAGAAAAAAGCACTTGGGTTTATGAAAAGTCTTTCTATTCTCTCTTTCTCTCATTCCAATTGCTCTTATCTTTTTCAGCTCTGACTACTGTATGAACATAAACGGGCTAAAAACATTGACTTGTTGTTCAACTTAAAAAAAAAAAAACATGTTTCAGTGCTGCACAGTCACCAAAAAACTATACATAAATGTAAATACTAATTTATTATAACATCAAAAAGAAGATATAGTAGAGAATGAAGCAGTCAGAGGGCACACAACAGGAAAGACCAAACAAAGGCAAGAGAATGAAGAACAATTAGATTCATGTATTTAGGTTAGAACTCCATAAACATCGTCTGGAATGTGTGAGATTTATACACACTTTTTCAGATCTGACTGTCTTGAACACGTTTTACTTTGAACAAATGTGGACTTTATTAACCAGCAGGGCGTCAAAAATCCTGTCGCAATCTCAATGTTGGTCAGAAACTTATCACAATTAGATATTTTATAGGGATGCACCGATACCGATACTGGTATAGGGTACGGGTCGATACCATAGGCTTGTACTCATACTCATACCATAGGACCCGATGCGGACAATCAATAACTTAGCATAGCTTAGTTGCTAGCTTAGCGGGCAGCAGACAGGATGTTGGGCAGTGTTTTAAAGTTAGCAAGAGTGACAAGAGTAAAGCGGGCTGTACGTTGTGTGTTAGAGCAAAACTGTCACGAGGTGGGTCCAAAACAAACACGTATAACACCGGAAACTTGATCATTTGTCTGAAAACTCACTCCCACACAGCGTATAGCACCTTTGCTAGCACCGGAGCTATTTCTATGTACCATTTGTATGAGTATATTTGTATGACAGTAGCTCTTAATGTTGACTGGTAAAACAATTGCTAAAAGTTTGTTTTTTAAAGCATTTTTATTGTTGTTGAAAGGAGAAATACATGGTTTTAATTTCAGTTACTTTCGTTTAATGAAGCTGCACTACTATTGCCACTGTTTCTTTGATTGCCACTTTTTTATTGTACATAATATATCCAGAACAGACTATATTTTTTTTTGCCTTTAACATGTTTGCACACTTCTGTCTTTTGTACAAATCTTGAGTGATTCTATCCATAACAAATGTGACATGTACATTTCTCTTGTGTGAGATGAATCAATTCTATCTTATCTTATGAATTCTCAGGGATAACACAATGCAGTACTCGTATCGGCAAGTACTCATATGAAGGTACTCGTATCGGTTTTGAAAAAAAGTGATATTGGTGCATCCTTAAAACAGTGTTTTAACAAACTTGGCGTCTTGGTTTGACTTTACCTGCCTACAACATGTTTGAAGAAGACACTTTGCTCTCAAAGGGATGTTGTTCTAAAAGGCGCTGGTTAAATGGCTCCATTGTGAGATTAAAAAAGTTTTTCTGATCTTATCTTAACCAACCTGCTGTATCTGTCGCTAGTTTAGTAAAAAACATATATATTGATGAGAAAATCTTGTCAAATTGGTTTAGTTGTTTATTGTATGCTGTTTGTGTGTGGCTGTCATTTTGACCCATCGAAATACCAGTAATAAAATACATACTTTGCATTTATACATTTTAGCTCTTTTAATCCAGTCATGTAGTGCACACTTCAGACCAGTCACTATCAAGCAGCACTGCCTTTAATTTTGCCATGCATTGTGGTGTTTTTCTGACCTGTTAAAGCTGAGGTACCTAACTTTCCTTCCACAAACAAATGGAACTAATGTGATGTCAAAAAAACCCATCATACTAGTGTTGCTCTTATGTCTTGTGGATGTGTGTGACTTTTTCAGACCCAAAAGTGAGAAAGAGAGGACCACCCTCACTCAGCCAATCAGAAATCAGGCCCAAAAAGTCACATAGAGACACACAGGGATCTTTCTTATGTATGTTAAGTATGCAAAATATGATGCGTTTTCTGATTGGTTCACAACATTTTTACCGCAAATTTCCCTTGGGACAATAACATTTATCTAATCTTATCTTATCTTATATTTTGCTACACGACTGTTAGGGAGAAACGTAATGTCCTCTTCATGGAAAAAAAAGTCAGGAAAACCCCAGATTTTTGTGACCTTAAAAAGTATTAGCTTCACTGGTTGAATATTGAACAATACAATACAATACAATACAATACCATTTATTCTTGTATAGCCCTGAATCACAACAGCAGCCATCGCACAGGACTTGACAAAACCATTGAAATCACCAACACAGATCAGAGAATCAACAGTTAAGACACAAAAAAGATAATAACGCATAATATGGATTCAACTAATACATGTAACAGTATTTTATGAGGACAAAAATAACTGAATGTATTTCCAGTGACATGTTTTTTGATGGTATAATATTTTGCTGTCACTCACTGATCAGTTTCGTTTCCCCGTGGGCTGAAAATGGTTGTGTATTCATATGAGTCGCTCGCAGACACTCAGCTCTGTCTCATTATTCATCAGCTGTATCCAGATGGCACCTGTTTGCCTCCGTGTTAAGAGAAATGAGCCCAATAAAATCATTTTTCATCTCTTACTATGAAATGCCAATCAAATTTCCCTCAAGCCACAAGTCTGTCCTCCTCCATTAATTTTCTTGGCTTTATGATTGTAATTTTATGAGATTTGGACTTGCATAATTACAGGCTCGGGAGTTGTCGGGTTTCACTAAATATGCAAATAAGCCAACACCTGTATTTATACTGGGGAGAAAAGCCTCGCCAACCACAAGCCAAACTCATGCCAGAAGCATTGGAGTTTGTGCCGTTCTAAAGAGCTCCGTGTGCGTTTTTTGTGTGTCTGCAGTGATGGAGCCCATGACGGTGACGACGTCAGGGGTCGGACCGGAGGAGTTCGACCGGAATGCTCCCCGGATCTGTGGCGTGTGCGGGGACAAGGCCACGGGATTCCACTTCAACGCCATGACCTGCGAGGGCTGCAAGGGCTTCTTCAGGTGAGCGCGCTGAGGGGAGGCTGCAGGAGGGAAACTCAAAGCAAACTCACTCATACCAAAAAAGAGCAAATTGCGATTGTTTGATGGCTATTGCTGAAATAGAATGCATATAAAGACAAGAAATCTAAACTTAAATGAAGGAAAATAGATATTGGTTGATCTACGTTTATCGATATAGGGTTGCTAATTCATCTGTCAATTCATTATTTTCAAATCAATTAAAATATATAATAATTTCTATGGGAAACAGCTAATTTCACATGGTTCACAATTATTAATAAATATAGATTTTCTGCTATTGTGGCCTGAAGATTTCAGAGCTTCATGTGGTCGAATAACAGCCTTGGAGATCCGGCCCCTTTTTCAGTGCAGCTGTGTTTCTGTTTAAGGAATCGTGGCCAATTGTGTAGAATGCTTTACAAAAAATACATTTTAGACTGAATATAAAGTATACTCTCAGTGTAGGTGGTGAAGAAATGCATATGTCAGAATACAAAACTATACTCAGGCTCAATGGAAGCAAATGATAAAGATGCTGAAAGGTCTAAATTAAAGTTTACAGCTTTACTAAAAGGCAGTACATACATTTTTAGATACAAAATGTATAAAAAAATACTTTCTTCATCATCATCGACTAGTCCATTCATCTTTATAGCCTCGGACATTCAGGGCCATGAGGGATCCATCTTTATGTTTATTTGTTTTGTTAAAAATATTGTATCTGTGACATAACAAATGACTACAAAAAACCATGTCCTGACTTGGTTCTGTCTGAAAAATCTGAAAAAAACCTGAAACCTGAAAGAAACTGAGAATTAACTTCCAGGTAGCTTTGGTGCGCAACGATCCCGTCTCTGTGAGGTTAATTTTCTATCACTCTTGGGTTTCATGAACCTGGCCTGTAGGGGGCGAATGAGCAGATGTGGGACAACTCAGTTTTGCTCCCATTGAAAACCATGTAAATCGTGTCTGTTTTGGAGTCCAAAGGCTGTCATCCTGTGCCGTGTACGGTTGTTGTAATCGGGGACACTTAATTCTAAGGTAGTACAAAAAAATATTTCTCTAAAGAGTCTTGATTTTGGGCATTTTTGGAAAGAAAAACAGAAGAAATTGCTGTGTTTCATTGGAGTGGCCTGCAGGGGGCGCTTATCTGGGAAAGCCTTGATCCACCTCGCCCGCCTCTTTTGAGTGATTTTTTCAAAGTGTCCTCCTTAATATGAGACCACAGTTGGAACATGAACAAACTCTTGTCTTTCTCTCTATTTGTCCGGTTGCTACAAGCGTACGCCGCACAAAAAGAGGGCATTTTGACAGCGCTTCTTCTTCTACTATATCTCCGTGTATGTACAGACTGCACCCCCAGGATACATCACGTCCTCTCCTACATTTGTCATTCGCGCCACTGCCCTGACGTCGTATAACATGTATTCCTTATGCAACATGGACACACAATGATAATGTTGTTATTATGATCTTTGCTGCTATTCACTATTCTCTCTCACACAATAAAACATCCTTCTCCTTGACATTTCTCAACTCAAAACACTTGGAGAATGTAGCCTCTTGGGAATAAAGTGCAATAACTGTGTGCTCTGTTTGTTTGTTCTCCAACAGACGGAGTATGAAGCGCAAAGCCAACTTCACGTGTCCCTTTAATGGAAGCTGCACCATCACCAAGGACAACCGCCGCCACTGTCAGGCCTGCCGCCTCAAACGCTGCATCGACATTGGCATGATGAAAGAATGTGAGTAGCTCCCTCCTGAATGCTGGGACAGGATTGGTCTGTCAGTGGGACCACATTAACAGATGAGGTGACGTGCACAGCCTTTTTCATGAAATCCAGTTCATTATCGACACTAGTCACAAACACTGTCGCAACATTGAAAGCTTTTACCTTCAAGGATTTGTCGTGATGTCATTATGATGTGTTCTCTGCCCACGTTCTGTTCTGTGCCCACACTGCTCCTCTCTGGCATCAGTGCGCAGTCAGACAGGAAACACCTTAATTTAAAGGAATAGTTCACCGTTTTTACATACTGACATATGTTCTTACCTTACCTTAGACTAGTTAATATGTACCTGTCTGGTCTTAGTCCGTGCGCTCTGTCATGCAAACGGAGCAAAAACGGGAGCACAAACGCAGCCTCCTCTGTATATTGTGTAGGACCAAAAGGTAGCTCCCGCTAGAAGCTACCAAACTCTTCCAAGTGTTCCCTATTAAATGTATATAGTTACGTGACGTGTTACACTGCAAAGTATAGTAACACAGAAATGTAACTGTCGATTTTCTCAGCGGATAAAACGGGTACTATATTGTGAGGCGTAGTAATCTGAGGAGCGCTACGTCCGCGCACTAACTTCTCTCCGGAGACTTCTCTCTCGCTGCTACTGTGTGTACTACAAGTCACGCTGCTTCTATTGACGGAAGTGAGCGAGAGAGAAGTCTCCGGAACACTTGGAAGAGTTTGGTAGCTTCTAGCGGGAGCTACCTTTTGGTCCTACACAATATACAGAGGAGGCTGCGTTTGTGCTCCCGTTTTTGCTCCGTTTGCATGACAGAGCGCACGGACTAAGACCAGACAGATACATATTAACTAGTCTAAGGTAAGGTAAGAACATATGTCAGTATGTAAAAACGGTGAACTATTCCTTTAAGCACAGCCGGTCTGCAGAGATTGTTGTCTAGGGGCCTCTGACTTTCACCTGCCTAATCCAATATGTAGAGACCACCCAAAGGACAGTGGCCAACTGCAGTGTATATACCCGGCAGACTGCACCCCCAGGATGCGTCACGTCCTCTCCTACGTTTGTCATTTGCGCCACTGCCCTGACGTCATATAACATGTATTCCTTATGCAACATGGACACACAATGATAATGTTGTTTTTATGATCTTTGTTGCTATTCACTATTCTCTTTCACCTGCCTAATCCAATATGTAGAGACCACCCAAAGGACAGTGGCCAACCGGATCGATTTCCGGTCTAAGTGGAACTGATCTGAGACGGTGAGACAGCCCGGCTTTTGTGTCCAGGCGTGAGACATAGGATTAAATAGCAGCCAATCTTACTGAGATGCACTGAGATCTGCAGTAAGAAATCCACACATTCAGATACAGTACAAGCATGGAGCTCATTTATTGCCTTTTAAACATGGTACAAGAGATTTTATTCTTGTTGAATCTTTGTGTGAGACTGATTTCCAAGTCTCAACAGACGGCCTTTTGACACTTACGCAGTACTTCTAACATCTTCGTGTTGGTGGTTGATAAAAACAAGGGTCGAGGTCACACTGGGGATGAGTCTCATGATGAGGTGACAACATGAGTGTATCCTAATTTGTAAATAAGGACCGAGTTAAATGTCTTTGCTGTGTTTGAGACCATGCCTTTTCTCTTTAGTGCTGAAATATCTCTGGATGTAGTTCAGAATGGCATAGTTATAGTGTATTGATGTGATAATCATGTTGATGTTGTCTCTGTGAGTGTGTGGAGACGGTAGATGAGAGAGTGTGTTGTTCAGAAGTCGTTTTGGCAAAGTTCTGCCTGTGGAGCTGCCCTCTACCTTCTTTTCTGCCCCACTGCATTTCACACTGGGGCTGCACATAGGCCGTATTACACAGAGTGGAAAGTATTACAATCGTTATGCACACACTTTCACATTCACTCAATGACATAATTTGGTCTATATATTAGAATTATCAATAAAACCAACTTAATGCTATAATGCATCTTATAATATGTAGGGTGTATTTCATTCTTCACATATTTCCAGTATTATTTTGGAAAGTCATCTGGGGTCAGGCTCAGTGTGTTTTAGCGAGTGCCAAGATCGCTGCCTGACCTGATCTCACCCCTGAACATTATGCCCCGGGACGCATGGGGAAAAACAGCACGCAACCGACAGAAAGTGGTCCACCAGCCAACGGATCCAGAACGTCTGCTTTGTCTCGTTGGTCTACTTTATTCATCAAGTAACCTTCTAGAAAAAGGCTTTTTAAAAATATTTATTGTCATGATTATTGCACAAACTATTAATAGATAAACAAATATAGCAGGGATGCACCGATACCACTTTTTTCAAAACCAAAATCAGTACGAGTACCTTAGTTTGAGTACTTGCCAATACAGGATACTGATACAAGTACTGCATTGTGTTATCCCTGGGAATTCGTAAAACGGATACAACTGAAATAAAAAAATTAGAAAAAAACTTTCAACAATAAGAAAATGCTTTAACACATAAACATTTTACCAATTGTTTTAAGAGTCAACAATAAGAGCCACTGTCATATCATACAAAGGCTGTTATAGAGTTGGTTGTTTTTGTGCTATGTTTTGTAGATTCAAAATGTGAGTATTGGTTGCAGGTATCGGGTACCTATGGCATGAGTATGAGAAAAAGCTTACGGTATTGACTCGATACCTGTTACTCGATAGGGGCAACAGTAGGTCAGTTGGTAGAGCCTGAAGGTCGTGGGTTTGAGCCGACCATAAGACTTACCTCACGACTCCCACTGATGTCTGCTGTCGTTGCGTCCTTGGGCAAGACACTCAACCCCACTTTGCCCGAAGCCCCTGCTGAAAGATCTCAGCTCCTGTGGACTCACCACCTGCAGGAGGATCAGTGAGGGGCTGGTGCTCTGTGTACTGGGTACAGATCTGACTGCCACCCCCCCAACCCAGAAATGGATTATGGGGAAGAAAAAAATGGATGAATGGATGGATATTGACCTGATACCTTATACCAGTATCGGTATCAGGTATAATTTCTAATCTCTAAAATATAATATATTACATGTTTATATAAGTGCCACTTTCCCGATAGTTATTTTATTTATTTTAAGTTAATGATAATGCATTAGTTTTATATAGTGCTTTGTGGACACTCAGAGTTGCTTCATTATTTTTTCACTCAATACTCGGTAGTGATAAACTACTATTGTAGCCACAGCTGCCTTCAGGCACACTGACAGAAATGAGGCAACCAGTATGTGCCATGGGCCCCTCCGACCACCACATCCGAGCATTCCGACTCGTGCAGCAGACTCATTGAGTCAATGTACTTCTTGAACACAACACACAGTTTGGCACTTTACTACCACCGCCGCCGCCCCACTGTGGCACCTGCTGTTCCCAGAGGTCTCCCATCACAGGACTAACAGCAGGCCAAGCCCTGCTTAACATACCAGGCATAAAAAAATGAGGGCTTTCTATTGATAAAAAGGTAACACTTTTGTCAAATTGACATGATACAATGTGAAAAGTGAAAACCAAAATAAGTAAATTGTTCAGAACCCGATGCCCTGGCTCCACCCTTCAGAGTCCCCTCCTGTGTCCTGCCTGATGTTTACTCCAACCACATTAGTCCCCTTTGGAGAACTGTCTCCTCAAAAAAACGTCCATCTTGTCAGTGTTTACCAAACCTTTCTCTTTCTCCTGCTCTGTGCCACATTCTGCCTTGAGCCTTCCCAACGGCTGTCTTTGGGTAAAGGCCTCAGCCTCTGCCAAGCGCTCTGGGGTGGCCACGATGCTCCTTTGATGCTCCCTTGTTGTTGTGCCTTAATGATGCCATCAAGGGCTGGGATTTGGCCGGACGCTCCCATCCTTCCAGCTCTCCCTAAGAATAGCCGCTCGTTTGGTTTCTCTAGTGCCAAATCTTAACCAAACCGTGCCCATTCATACTTGGAAGGAGTGGCTCTTCATGGCAATGGTCTTTTGGGGCCAAGCCAAAGTCTAATTAATGATGTTGGCTTGGAGAAGATGAAAGCTAATACCGGTACACTTTGAGGCTTGGAGGTTTTACTTTACCAATTTTAGCTTGTTGTTTTCCATGTTACGCGCTTATGCAATGTCGCTTCTGTGGTTGCAACCAAGGATGTAATCACTAAAATCCTCTTCAAATATGCTTGTTTACCATTTCTGTGTAAGCACCCAGTATTTAGCTCTATTTAATTTCCACATTACAGTCTATGTATTTTTGCATTTGCTAAGAGTCAAATATGACTTAATCTTCCTCCATTTGGATAAACAGCATAAGCCTATTTGGGCAGGATGAAGAAGCGCTCTGTGCGATTGGTGAAGGCCTGGTGTGTGTGAGGTAGGTACAAGGGTTGTATCCAGGCGGGTTTTTGGTGTCTTGCCCGGCGTTTGGTCTGGCATCAGCGGCGTCTGTGCCTGGCTGCTCTGTCTAGGAGCTAATCGGTCAATGTGGCACAAAGTCAACGTGCTATTACAGGCTGAAGGTTGCTTCCAGGGGTCAGCAGGCTGTTTTGTTTTGATCCAAGGCACAACGGACATTTGTCAGGCCATAGAGATGTAGAGAAGGACAGTTTCACGGGTTTGGATTTGGGTAGTAAAAGAATATTGTGTTATAGTTATGTAATGGATTAGTAATCAAAAGCAATAAAAAGCGTGAAGTCGTGTTTATTGGAGTCAATTCAATTCTATACTTTCAGTGCATTGGACTTGTGGTATTTTTGATCGCCACGTTGCCTAAAGAACAAGTATGATGCATGATTTGTGTTCATCAACCTAAACTCTAAAACATGAGCTTAGTCATTGCTACAGTAGAAAATATATAAATAAACATGTATAATTGCATTCTCCTTTTTGGTAAACATCATACATTATATGGTGTAATTGAGGGAATGCAGTTGTAGATTATATATTTGACTGGGCTGATTCACAAAACTAATTCTGAGGGAAGGCTTTTGCGTTAACAGGAGGAATCAGGACAGTGTGTGCTTTCGGTCTGGGCTTCACCGTAGAGCACCATGTTTGAGATCGGAGCCTTTAGACAGATGGGGCGTGAAACTTGTGCCTAAAGTTTCTGATATTAGTGTGGAGTATGATGTATGGAGTATTAGGATCAGTTACGTGGTTGATGAGGGAAAATGTTGTAACGTGATTACATTAAAATAATATGAATAATGTTTGTACTAAAGGCGTGTAGCTTCATCTGTGCTCGATACATTCGCCCAAAATGAATGATTTCACACAGTGGTGCATTATAGTGGTCATTTTTGTGTCAGAGTGGACCACACCTCACATGTGTACACAACATGTGTACACATGGGCGGCACGGTGGCTGAGTGGATAGCACTCTCGCCTCTCAGCAAGAAGGTCCTGGGTTCAAATCCCGGTCGGACCAGGGCCTTTCTGAGTGGAGTTTGCATGTTCTCCCCGTGTCTGCGTAGGTTTCCTCCGGGTACTCCGGTTTCCCCTACCACTAAAAATATGTCCAATAGTTCTGGCATGCGCCTCCTGTACTGGCAACCCCGCTCCCATCTCTGTGTGAAGTGAGAGGACAAGTGCCCCTAATTAACAATTGTAAACCGCTTTGAGACTCAGATCTGCAGTGAAAAGGCGGTATATAAATAAAGATTACTTACTACTACTACTACTACATGTGTTTCTATGGAGACACAGGAAACAAACATGTCAGCCCATGTTTACGGTTCATGAGGTCATTTTCATCACGTCGAAGTCCTAACACAAAATAAATAACATTTCAATTTTTCAGGAACCATTACTATGGCCGAGAACCGTAAACAAAACTGGCCGACAGATGTGTTTTATAGTTTTATCTGGGATATAGTTGACAGGTGTCATCCATTTTTGAAACGCCTAATTTGAGAATAATAATCTTTTACTTTTTTATTTATTCTCTCCTACATCATTTTGAAACCAACTTGCTGATCAATGCTTGGATGGGACATTTATTCCGTTATATACTACATGAACATAAATGCTCCTACTCGCAGCTGGCTGTGTCCATTGCTGAAGCCATATGTGGGGAGAGACATGCTCATGAAGTCTGGCTTTAAGAGTGTTGCTATAAACAGTGTTGAAACCATCGGGGCGTCCCTCCTATGCCACTCTCCCCTTGTGCTGCATGAATAAGGCAAAAGGCACTTAAGCATCCAACACCCGCTGCATCAGCTGCAGAGTTCTGCCAGCAGACTGAGCCGCTTGTGCGTGTCGACCTACGCATCCGCACGCTTCGTAGAGCGTCAGTAAAATAAGTTCAGCTTGTTCTCTCCAATCCAGCTATTTCCAAAAGGAACATAGTTGTGTCTGTCACTCTTTGCAGTCAGACAGATGCGGGTATTCCCATGAAAAAGACAGTTACAATAGTCAAAATTCTCCTTTTTGTTAGCATTTGCCCCATCCTCCAATGGCACTAGGGCGACCCCCGGGGACCCGTGTCCAGATGTGGAGGCTTGGTCAAGACTATCAGAGCTAAAGGATTAAAATTATGGTGCTTGTTTTTGGTGATGGGGAAAACAGAAAATCATGAAACCTGAATTATTTTTTCGGTACTTAAAGTAGCAATATGTAAGATTCATCATTAAATGGCCCTAATCTGTCAAAAGGCATTAATAAACTATGCTCTGTTCGAAAACTTATTTTACTGATAACAGTAGTTCAGAGATATTTGGATTTAAAGAATTGTTTTATTAGTTTTAGTTTAATCTGCGTCAGGGAGAGTGAAGCACCACTATTGGCCAGATTTTTACATACGGCTCCTTTAATTTTCTTCCACTGCAAAAGGGAAATACAGTTCATAAAATAATGGGCTAGAGCTTTTGAAATGACTGATCCATCCCTGCACTGATGCCTTTAGTTCCACCGCATTCCCCGTTCACAGATGAATATATACTTTTTTCCAAATCATTATTTTTTTTAGTTTATTCAATTGATGGATTCAGCAAGGATGCCTTTTGTTGGCTGTGGATCAACCACAACCCCACCTCTCAGTGAATGAAAGGTTTTTCTCATTGAAATAACCAGCAAATCTCTCAAACCGGAGCCATAACATTAAACTGAGACATGCAGAGAGATGGCCACATCAGAAACCGAATACAGTCTTCTTACACGTTCATTATGATAATTCAATTGAATTCATTCTTAATAAAGAAGAACTGGTTCATAGACATACGTATACAATAAAACTAAAAACAGGTGTACGGGCAGAACCTCCAATGCATTTGTCTCCAGTAGGTTAGACTACTGCAATGGCCTGCTCACAGGTCTGTCCAAACAGGCTGTAAAACAGCTGCAGTACATTCAAAATGCAGCAGCTCGAGTCCTGACTAGAACCAGGAAGTACGACCACATTAGTCCAGTCCTCAGGTCTCTGCACTAGACTTCAAAACAGCTCTGCTTGTGTACAAGTCTCTCCATGGCCTCGCACCAAAATATATTAGTGACATGTTAGTCCCATATGAACCAGCCCGGACTCTGAGGAGCACAGGGACTGGACTCCTGTTAGTGCCCAGAGTCAGAACTAAACATGGGGAGGCTGCTTTTCAGATTCATGCTGCTAAAATCTGGAACAATTAACAAACAAGTTAAAAACTGTGCTGTTTAGCTGTGCATACAACTGAGGGATTTTATATTTTTATCTTTCGTTTTAATGTTCTGTGATTATTTATGATTTTAATGCTATCTTGTTCAGCACTTTGAGTTGCCTTGTGTATGAATTGTGCTATACAAATAAACTTGCCTTGCCTTGCCTTGCCTTGCCTCCATACGAACCTAAAAGAGCTCCTCCGAGGACAGACTAGAGCTTCGATTTTCTAATTTGACAGACTCATGGCTCGGCACATAAAAGAGTATAAACAATATCTGATGGAGACAACACATGAACCACAATTTTGCAAACTTTTGGCGCGACAAAACCTGGGCACTTTCAGCAGGATCCTCACAGAGTCATTGTAAATCGTGATAATCCTTCATTCCACTGAATTTGTTGTTGTTTTTGTTTTGTTTTACACGTGCATAACTCAACGTCATACATACCGATTGTATCCTGTCCTTTAGTTATCCTTACGGACGAGGAGGTGCAGAGAAAGAAGGACATGATCATGAAGAGGAAGGAGGAGGAGGCGGCACGGGAGGCCATGAAACCCAGAATGAACGATGAACAGACTCGCATCATCTCCTCTCTGGTGGAGGCGCACCACAAGACCTACGACGCCTCCTACTCGGACTTCCCAAGATTCAGGGTCAGTTTGTAACGCTTTGATGAGAATATGTCTGTGTTTTTGTTAGCTGTCAACATTACTACAACACATTCTAGTTGTCCAAAAATATAAAACCACATACTTAAAGCTGGGGTACATAATTAAATCTATCTAACCACTTTCTCGCTCTCAAAACAGTTTGTTTCTATCACTAGTTTTCACAGGCATGTCTTATTTGGCCTATATCAGCGAATAGATAGGACCACCCTCACTCAGCCAATCAGCTCGCACCCCAAAGTCTCAGATGGGCAGCACGGTGGCAGAGTGGTTAGCGCTTGTACTTCACAGGGTTCGAATCCACCTCCAGGCCTCTCTGTGTGGAGTTTGTCTTGTCTCCCCATGTCTGCGTAGGTTTCCTCCAGGTGCTCCAGTTTTCCCTACCACTACAAACATGTAAGATAGGTCTCGCATGCGCCTCCTGTATGGTGACCCCGCTCCCATCTCTGTCTGGAGTGAGAGAGAAAAATTCCCAAAAAACAACACATTTAGCGCTTTGTGACTCTGGCCTGTGAAAGGCGGTATATAAGTAAGGGATAATGTATAGTAGGCAGGTCATTATCAGACCCCTCCGCTGCGTGTTGGGATCCTCTTTGCCCTGTTGGTGCTTATTTTCCGATAATGACCTGCGTACTATACATTATCCCGCTTATTATACGACTTTGTACCAACAGAACACACAAAACAAACTTCAGCCCACTCTTAGGAATGCCGAAAGGTTTATTCAATGACCGCAAATAAAATAGTTCCCAAAGGCTTTCCCGTGGCTTTGCGAGTAACAGTTAGGCAGGTAACTCCTAAACTAGAACTCTCTCGAAAACTGAACAAAGAATTCTGAACATCAGCGGTGAGTGACCCAAACATAAACTCAACCTAAATCCATAATTCGATCCTCTGCAAATGTTCCTAAAATGTCCCGGGAATCTACTTCCAGGCTCGCAATCGCTTTTTCTCGCATTAAAACTGTATTTTTGTTTTTACGTTCAAATCAATGGAGCGTTCTACTGCTGCTGTGAGGAGCCGTGTAATAAATAAAGATTACTTTTGCTACGGACTCTATGGACTATCTGTTTAGGGAAAAACAACATTACAGTATTATTTCTGTAAAAAGAAAGTTATGTACCCCAGCTTTAATTTCTCCATCTCTACGATAAATACCAAAGTCACTGGCAGCCGCAGCGCACCGGCCTGTTGGGAGCAGGTGCACAGCGTGGTGTTCGTTCGGAGGCTCCGTCAGACAAAGTATTTACTCTTACCTGTATTGTCTGTTCCTTGTGTTACTGGTGTCGGGTGAACCCACTGTTTATGTATCGATGTCCGCCAAGTCGTGAACCTGATACTGCGTACGGGCCACTCTCTCTGTCTCACTCACAGCTGGGACATCTCTGGTAAATGAGACCGAAACGAGCCTCACTTCACGTACCTGTGATTTATCATATGGATCACTCTGCAGACAGCCATAACCACACTCTCTGTCAGGCCAGAGGGACTTGAACCTGCCTACAGCCTCATGTGAAGCTTTGCATGGTGCATTTAGTGTCTGTCCGAGAGAACCGACAAGGCAATGAATTATGCTAATCATTTAAAACGGCTGCCTAATGATTTAGTCAGCAATTCAGGACTATTATAGACTAACAATCATAATATTGTCTCTTTAGGCACCAGAGTTTAGCGTATACTTTTTATACTTAGTTTATTTTTTAAGCTAAAGATAAACTAAGTATATTTTTTGTTAAAAAAAATTCTCTTGTCTTGCCTTGTGTGCTCCTCCTTCCTCCTCTGTAACTTGTGATGCTAAACTAACATTTTCCCGCTGTGGGAAGATTAGAGAATCTCTCAATCGTAATCTTTAATCAGAAATGTGATTTGAGACAGACAAAAGTTGACTTTATAAAGATATAGGACTACCAAATTGTGCTTTGTGTACTGGGTGTAGCTCTGACTGCCACTCCCCCCCCCCCGACCCAGAAATGGATTAAGGGGAGGAAGATGGATGGATGGAAGTAAAAATGTCACAAAATTAATGTCAGTGAAAGTAAGATGTCACAACTTTCAGTAGTATGCAGAACTAATCTTTGTCTCACATTTTCAGGAATACTTTTATTTTATATTTTACCATGACATGGTTTTGTCTGTGCATTCTAATGAAAAATGTCAGTTATTATTTATTTATTGACCTTTATTTAACCAGGAAAGTCCCACTGAGATTGGAGAATCTATTTGTCAGGGGAGTCCTGGCCCCAGAGAGAGGGTGTTATGGGGGACTATTGTACATGTTTTAGCACCGTAGCACCTGAAGGAAACCTAAGCAGACAGGCTGAGAACATGCAAACTCAAACCTATAGGACCTTCTTGCTGTGTAGCACAAGCACTAACCACTGCGCCACTTTGCATTTCAAATCTTTTATTGGTTAGTCGACTACAGTGTTGGCCCTACTCCTGTATGACCCAACTGTGGTGTTATGCCCCCAGCCTCCGGTTCGTGAAGGCCCGGTGACGCGCAGTGCCAGCAGAGCCGCTTCTCTTCAGTCACTTTCTGATGCATCCTCAGACTCATTCAACCATTCACCTGGTGAGAAACACAATCTCCTGCCACACTCGCCTGTGCCTCTCTCTGCTTCATGGAGACACACTATATTGTACTTATAGACATCAGGACAAGTTCATATTTTTCACTAATACATTGAATGGTGGCTGTGTAACAAACTCATGTAACCAAATATATAAATCATTGTCTTGGAGGTCTGCTGAAGGTCTTTTTATACAGTTGTTTAAAAAGTTTAATTGCTTTGGCGATAATTCAGAGATCATAAATGATTACACGTTATTTGGTCAGTTTGTGTAAGCTCTCAGTCGTTCAGGAATTAGACACCCCCTGATCCTTAGGCTAACTCATGAACACATCTAAAGTCTGCTAAGATGTGGTTGGGTGCAGGTCTAATGATCCTGCTAGGTCTAACGATCCTGTTAGGTCTAACGATTCTACCTCATTAACCTGCTGATTGATCCCCATTTTTAGTCGTGGCTTAATTGTATTCAAATTTGACAAATCCGTTTGTGACGAGCTCTTACATGCAGTTTGTGCAAGGCAGCCCAGGAGTTTACAAGGACTAGGACTTGTATTGAGGAGAATTGGCAGATTTACTATCAGAGAAGAGACAGAGCTGATTCCACAACTACCACAAAAGAAGGGGGGGGGGGGGTTCTTCCAGATGGGGCGTAAATAAACATTGACATTTATCTACGTACAAAATACTAAAAGTTGAAAGTGGCCTCGCTGAATCAAAAACATCCATCCACACATCATCCGGGTCATGGAGAGAGCAGGACATTTAATCACAGTAATGCATGGACAAACAGACTCAGCCCACTTGACCTCGATTAGTGCTTATCTGAATAACCCCTATAGAGCTGAAATGTTTGCTGCGGCACTGTAATACATTAGCTATACGTCTCCCTAGTCAATTATGTTTTACTGTGCCCCTCATGAACAGACCATCCTGTGTCCTTAAACTTGTGAAGGCCAGAGCTCCTCTGGTGAAGGCCAGAGTTCCTCTGGAGGCACAATAAAACACAAGGACACACTCTTGTTTGTCGCTATGATAGTGATAGAGAAAATAACGATAATAACAATTCTCTTGTCACTGTGCCCCAGAGCCTCACGCTGCTGTTGTTCAGATGTAAACACACAACTACATATTTCTTGCACTAGAAAACACAGTACTTTACACTTGCGTCTTTTAATGCCAAAGGTAGAGATTCTACACTTCTTTATTATGCAGAGTTTTTTACATGGACATTGGTCTCTTGCTATGGACCAAAACATGTGCTTTTTGTGTCTTAACTATTGGTAATTTCATTGGTTTTGTTAAGTCCTCTGAGATGACTACTATTGTGATTTAGGGCTATACAAGAATACATTGTATTGTATTGTATTGTACTCATTATGCTAAAGATAGAAATGTTATACTGCGCATATTTGATTGTTTATATTTACCCCAATACTGCATATACATCCTACATCTCTCCCCTTGTCCTCACACAGAGTCCGTGGACAGTAAGATGAACTTCAGTAACTTGCTGATGATGTACCAGGATGGGGCCAGCAGTCCAGACTCCAGTGAGGACGACTCAAAGCTCTCAATGCTGCCCCACCTGGCTGACCTGGTGTCCTACAGCATCCAGAAGGTCATTGGATTCGCCAAGATGATTCCAGGATTCAGGTACAAACTGTGCACTTTATCTACATTCAAGTTACCAGCTTTGTTTTGTAAGTCACAGCTTTGATTTGTCATCAGAGGTTACATTATTGATAACCTGGTCATACCACACTATAGTACGAATTACATTTCGTACTAAGGTCTGGGGGTGCTCCATTGAGCTCCGTTAACGGGTGGGAGGGCTTAACTCCTTTTGTAGATTGAAATGATTGGGTCAGAACGTACTGTGACTTTTGTAATGCGCACCAGTGAGTTGTTAGCATTTAGCATTTAGCCTCGCCATCTCCTTTGCTAACGGAGCCCGTGGGGAGTAACGCCACAATCTTGGCCAGCCATTACATTTGCTTAGCATTCCTCTTGCTCCTTCAATTTCTTGATAGAACCAGACCGGAATACTTTACTTTTTTCACAAACTCTTGACATCACCCACAACTAGCTACAACACCCGCCTCCCGCGCTCGCTGATTGGTCGGATGGAATTCAATCGATTGTGATCGCAAACACAGGGACCAGACCCAGACGTTACATGCAGGAAATGATTATTGAGCGGAGTGTACGGATGGATAAGGCCAGGCTACATTACTGATAACGTTGCTCATATGGAAGTAAGTTTCCCAACGCATAATTTTCTTTTTTTTTTATGAATAAGACATAGGCCATCTATTGCACGTGGCCACCAGAGGCTTAAACCCATTATTGAAAACTCTTTTGTCAAAACTTTGAGCTACATTCCGAGGACAATAGTGTACCCTTACCCTTGAAAACGTCTCGCAGAAGTTTCTCCTTTTCAAAACACTGCTAAATTTTTCCAGAATAACCAGGATAGTAACTCCTCAAGAGCACTATATTTTCAAAGCTGACTAACCTTAGACCTTCTGGAAACATGACAACCAATCAGAGGTCTCCCTCAGAGCTGCAGGAGTAATCACCTCCCATTGAAATCACTAGTTACTCTTCCCAATAAGCAAATATAAAATTATGTAATTATTTAAGTGAATTGTACCATAGTGACTAATGCAAATTGAAACAAAAAATGACATATAATGGAAATGACGTATTCCTTTGTTTTGTCCATTTTACCACCACGTTGATGTTGCTGGAGCAGTTTTCCCCTTTCTTAATATTAAAATGAAAGCAGAAATACCAACAAAAGGTGAGCCCTGAAACTGTCCATTTTCTACCCCTTAATCCATTTCTGGGTCGGGGGGGTGGGGTGTCTTGCCAGCAGGTGTCTCATGGCGGGCTCAAACCCACAACCTTCAGGCTCTACGGCCGATGCTTTACCAACTGAGCCACTGCCGCCACAAGGAATAACTAAAGTCATAAAACAACTGAAAATATATCAAATAAATTGGCCAGGTCTCTGTATAGATTCATTATCTCATGGAGCACTTCTACTTCTCAGGTGCCTGAAAGGGTTAAATGACGCAGCGGTAAATACTAAATTCAAGCTTGTTTGTGCGTCGAGCCATAATTATGTGGTGTAATTGGTAGAGATGGGATCTGCTCAAACAAACACATTATTCCAGGAACAACAGCATGAGGGCCTCGCAGAATGATAACTAGACACAGCACTGGGCCCAGACACAATGTAAATGTATGCATGTCCAGACACCACTTTAATAAAGGATATGGGGATATGTCTATGTGCTGGAGCCACATCATAAACATAATCCCCGCCGCTGTCTCACGCAGAGCACACTATTTTTAGAAATGTACAGTACAATTCATGGAAACCCCATTATTTGCATGTTTCTGTTCGAATACCTGGCCAGCCACGTTATTTTTTCTAATTCAAAATATTTCATTAAGAGTTGACATGAACGTAGAAAGTGTATGTTGATTATTTTTAATACTCAGAAACAGGCGAACAAGAAGTCTGGCTGTTTACAATACAATAAAAAAAATTCTTGTGTAGCCCTAAATCACAACAGCAGTCATCTCAGAGGATCCATTGCAATCACCAACACAGATCAGAGAATCAACAGTTAAGACCCAAAAAATACACATATGAATTGGTCCATAGGGAGAGACCAATGTCCATGCATGTTTTAGAATGTTAAAGTGTCCAGGATTCTATTTATTTTCTTATTTGATAGGTAGAAGTAAATGGTAGTAGTAAGTAATCTTTTTTATATACCGCCTTTCACAGACCAGAGTCACAAAGCGGTTTACTATCGTGGGCAGAGATGGGACCGGGGCCAGTGCAAGAGCCGCATGCCAGACCCTATTGTACATGTTTTTAGTGGTATGGGAAACCAGAGTACCCGGAAGAAACCTACGCAGACACGGGGAGAACATGCAAACCTCACTCAGAAAAGCCCTGTTCCGACCAGGATTCGAACTAGAGTTTTCTTCGGGCCCGAAAAATCAAGCCTGACCCGGCCCGAGCCAGCCCGAGCCCACCTGAGCCCAACCAATTAAACAATTAACGCTGTATAATAGGCCCGAGCACCCAGGGGAAAACTCGGGTCGGGCTCGGGCCTGCTCGGGCTGAAAAGCGAAACTCTAATTCGAACCCAGGACCTTCTTGCTGAGAAGCGAGAGTGCTATCCACCATGATAGGGACAAGTGTACACAATCAACATGTGAAACTGTACAACATTTATAGCCAAGGCTAATATGCAATGTCACCACCGTCCTTGTTAGACACTGACTGTCCAACAGACCCTCCTGCATGTTTCTGATCAAATACCTGCCCAGCATCATTATATTTCAAATTAAAACGGTTTTATTTAAGAGTCGACGTGAATATAGAAAGTAAGTAAGTACGGTTTATTTATGTAGCGCATTTTACAGACCAAGGTCACCCAAAGCGCTTTACAATTGTTCACAAACGGTGATGACGGAAGCGAGTCGCCGAACACACTGGACCATCAGCCTCCAACCAACACCATCCATTCACTCTCTCATTTACATTCAGACCTAATATGCATGTTTATAGTGGTAGGGGAAACCAGAGCACCCGGAGGAAACCTACGCAGACACGGGGAGAACATGCAAACCTCACTCAGAAAGACCCTTTTCTGACCGAGATTCAAACCCAGGACCTTCTTGCTGAGAAGCGAGAATATTATCCACAATTGACCGCCCAAAGTGCATGACAATTGTTTTTAATACTCAGAAACAGGCAAACAAGAGGTATGGCTGTTTCTGTTTGAAAACCAGGCCGGTGACAATATATTTCTAAGTCAAAACAAAGGTTTCACTTAAGACTCGGCATGAACGTAGAAAGTCGATTGTTTTTGACAGATGCCAGGTCGTTATCGAAGAAACCGCATGCTTTGGTTACTGGTCTGTGTTGTGTTGGCGAACTCTGGGTTGTGGCTTAGAACTCCTGCAGGCATTCAGAGTGTAATTGTGAAGTGACAATTGCCCCGACATCTCTAATACAACAAATATCACAGTGTTGCGTTTGAATGATCGTTTCTATCCAGCCACTCTCTTGCCATTGTACCCACTGTTTTATTTCCCATGCAACGTAAACAGCTCTTTTTGTACACTCAGAACTGTAATTACTCACAGCGCATAGGCCTGTGTGAGTCAAAGCCGCTGTACAATGAGGTTTTGTGGTTTTGCATTTACTGTAAACTCACCACGAAAGCGACTGATTGGACAAAAACGTCTGAGAGTCTCGGGTGACAAGAATTCTCATTTTAACTCGAGGAAGTTTTTGAGTAATCTGCACATTTCTTGTTCATGACCCAAATGGATAATTTCCACTGAGATACGTAGCTGCATCGCTAACACTGTATGTCTGTGGGCGTTGTGAATGACCAGTTTTCTGTTATGAAAGAATTGTAGAAGTTTATACATTTAATGAAGAGCTTATTTATAACCGTGGGTGTTGGAGAGAGCTATGATTCAGTTACCTGCTCTGACCTCGGTTCCTTTATGAAAGGAAAGAAGGTGCAAAGGTTTTTTGTTTTTTTAGTCCTTCCAAAAGAACAACTTTTTCAAAACAACAAATGAGTCACTAAATCAGTCGTCTTTCGTTTTAGGTGATTCACTCAGTAGACTTTACTTTTATTCATACAAACAAACACATATGGAGCACTTGTTATGACTTTTACAGTTAGTTTTTGATCAAATAGATATTGGTTGCCAGATAGTATTAGAAAATCAGTCAACTTTTATTTGTAGAGTGCCTCTCCTACACAAGGCAACACAAAGCGCCTCACAACCCATAACACATCATGCATAAATCATATACAATAAAATCTACATACAACCTAAAAAATAAAATTAAAATCCGACAGGGCATTAAAAACACCATCCATCCATCCATTGTCTTCCCCTTAATCCATTTCTGGGTCGGGGGGTGTCAGTCAGAGCTGCACTCAGTACACAGAGCACCAGCCCCGCATTAAAAACACAAACACAATAAAATCACGAGAAATATAATAAAAATAAAATAAAATCACACAAGTAGTCCTAAAGTCTTTAAATCATTAAAAAAGGTATTCAATTTGACACCGCCAATTTCAAGGCCTTTCAGAAGCTTTACATTTGACCAAAATAGCTTATATATAGTTTATATTTGAGCGCTGCATGCATTATATTTGTCCTTTGATCCAAAATGGTGAAATCCAATAAATATCTACACACAACTTTCAGCGCCACCCTCTGCAACACTGTTTTAGTCTTGTGTTATTTCTGTCGACTTTAGTGCATACGCAGAACACAATGGGCTTACATTTTCCAGGCTCTGGAAGTTTGGGAAATTTGAAGATTCAAATAAACAAGACGGGCGTGTGATGTTGAAGAAATATGAGTCATGCAACATTAACCTAAACGTTTAAAAAGCCTTCACACTGTTGCTAATTGTTGTATAATGTATGTATTTCCAGTAATAATAAATTTACATGTGTCAACCCCCACACATGCACAATGGAGTAGACAGTTTTCTGAACAATAGTCATGAGGTCACATGATGTACAGCTTTTAAACATTGTAAATAGCAGCATCTTTCAAATGTAATTCTGTCTTTTTTCACACAGTTACAAAATGGGTCATGAGATGTGCTAGGTCTGATTTTGGATGAAATATTACCCCAAAGAGAAAGCTGTATTTAAAACCACATGTGTTTTCTGCTGCAGAGATCTGACTGCCGAGGACCAGATCGCTCTGTTAAAGTCGAGTGCCATCGAGATCATCATGCTGCGCTCAAACCAGTCCTTCAGCCTGGAGGACATGTCCTGGAGCTGTGGAGGGCCCGACTTCAAGTACTGCATTAACGACGTCACCAAAGGTACACGCCATACACCAGGCATGTCCAAACTCATGTGGAAGCAGCGGACAGAGAGTTGCTGACCTGACCCATCCACTGTGCTATACAGATCAATCAATCAATCACATTTTATTTATAAAGCGCTTTTCATACAAAAAGTGTAAGTGTAGTTTTTACAGTCTATACATATCTACAGTTATTATTATGGATCCATGATTTACAGTCAAAAACTAATTTGAAAGTAAGATTGTCACTTCCGCTTCCGTCCCGATTCCATTCATGATCTAGTGCCAACCGTGCAGGGGGCAAACGCGCAGGGGCAAACGAGCACTTCCCGATTAGGCTTTAGCTAGCTTGAGGGTTAGCTCGAGCCATTCCTTCTTTGCAATCTATGGTGCAAGCTCACAATTGTTTTTCAAAACTTGTGTGAAATGTTTAGACTTCAGATGTCAATGTCAACTGTCAACTTTATTTCCAACTTTATTTGTACATACAACAACACCAGCTGCCCACAGGCACGAAAGATAAGAATCAAAGAAAACAGAATAAAATACATATTTATCACAATCTTTAAATTGCCACTTTTATTGTACATATATATCCTTGCACAATCTGAGTGTTCTATCCATGCCAAACGTGACATGTAAATTTCTCCTTGTGAGATAAATAAAGCACATCTTATCTTATCTTATCTTATCTTATCACATTGAGCAGAGTAACTTTTTTAGTCATTTTGTTATGGGGGAAGCAGTGCATAATAGACTTCTGTGTTAGAACCTCTGCTTTACATCTCCACAAACCTCCTTCAAATGATTCTGCAGATCCGGTCTCACAAATATTGATTGACTGTCAATACACTCTGACACTGAATGGCCAGTGTTATAATAATAATACATATTTATTTGTATAGCACTTTTCAAAAACAATGTGTACAAAGCGCCGCAAAGTCCGCATAATCAACAATAAAACAGTCACAAGAATACAAAGTCAAAATAATGAGATAGAGTAGAAGATACAGGAAGACAAAGAGGAAACGCAAGAAGAAAGACAAAGCAGACAGTAAAATACAACATAAGAAGTTTAAAGCTGTTTGATAAAAGTGGGTTTTAAGAAGCGATTTAAAGAAGTGAGGATAGGGACCCAAATGAAGTCCCCTTCGTCACATGACCCTCCGTCCTCGCTCACTTCCAAGGACGGAGAAGTGGCCCTTGTTGCCGCTGACAACACGTTCTCTCGAGGATCACCCACACACTGCGTTCCTCTGCGCATTTCTGTGAAGATGGCGTTTTCACAGGAGCAATAAAGAGACCATTAAAGCACATTTTTTCACACATTGAGGGCTGAGTGCAGAGCAGACTTTACACACAAAAAAATCAAAAAGTGAGGAGGCTCTTTACAAGGATTCGCCGCTCTCTCATGGAAAACTCGGAATAAGTAAGATGTTTTTGAAGGAGAGCTGTGGCTTCTCAAACATTATTTCAGTCATTTGTCTTGATGAAATGTTAATTGATATGTTATAGTAGTAGCGCAAACTATATATTTCAACATGTGGAAGACTAATCTGTTTATCTCACAGCACAGACGCAGCACTGACGTAAAACATCTGGCCTCTCGCACTGTACTCACACGTTTCCAGAAAGAGAGCAGCCTTGTAAATGTAGCAAGGAAAAAAAGCAGGTTTTTAAGATTAAGAGATTAAGAAATCCTTTATACGTCCCACAGCGGGGAAATTTCGGTGTTGCATCACAAGTTACAGAACAGTAGGAATGAGGAGCACACAGCACAAGATAAGTGAACAATAGCTATAGTAATTCAAATAAAACAAACTATCTCTAACTCTAGCATCAAAGAACAAGTATAACGTCTCTATCTTGGACATAGAGATACTTATAAAGAAGTAAAACAATGTTATATTTGCAAAATAAGAGGCAAGTATAAAGTACTGTGTATTCTAGTGCAAGCAATGTGTAGTTATATGTTAGCATCGTGGATCTATCTGTTAGCATGTTAGTATGTTAGCATCTGTTCATGTTAGCAGCAGTATGTTAGCATATGTTAGCATGTTAGCAGCAGTATGTTTACATGTTAGCAGCAGTGTGTTTACATTTGTACATGTTAGCAGCAGTATGTTTACATCTGTACATGTTAGCAGCAGTATGTTTCCATACATATCTGATGATGAGGGGCCGTTCTCTCATTCAGCCACAGATGGGTAGTGCTCTGGGTTTGGCTTCTTCTTAAACCGTGGGTGGTTGGCATCACACTGGTTGTTTGGCTAACAGGCTTGTTCCACTTTTCTTCTGCTGCGCGTTCACCAAGGCGGGTTTGACTCATATTCTGAACAGGTTTTCTTAGTTGTGGGCTTCCTAACTACGATGCACTGCGCTGTGCTTTTGACACGAAACAAGTTGTGAGAATATTTGTCTAATTACCTGCGGCGTACGTAAACATTCTTTCCACAGACCGCACCAAACTCTTAGTAAACATTCTGATGGATCTAGAAAAGCCCTAACCCTTATGATAGTGAATTGTTTTGTTTGGATTCAATGTAATGTTCTGTTCTCCTTCTGAACCAGGGATGTCAAAGTCAAATACATAATCAAAAAAAAGAGAGCACTTTCCAGATGTGGCTACCCCAAGTGGTCTTTTACTAAAGCCCAAAGGACGAGAAAGGCCAGAGACACAGTCCAACAGACAGAAGAAAGTAGGAGGAGAGGGGTGTCCTTACCGTATGTGGCGGGAGTTTCAGAGAAACTACAAAGAATCTTTAGGCAACACAAAATCCCTGTGTATTTCAAACCTTTCAACACGTTAAGACAGAAATTAGTGCATCCCAAAGACAAAACACCCAGACACAAACAGAGCAATGTGGTGTATTCAATTAAATGTAGTGAAGAGGAGTGCACTGACCACTATATTGGAGAAACCAAACAAACTCTACAGAAACGACTTTACCAACATCGTAGAGAAAACTAGTGGGCCACAGTCGGCTGTTCATCTCCACCTCAAGGCCTCCAACCACACGGTGGATGACACAGAGGTTAAAATTCTGGCTCTGGAGAAGAATTGGTTTGAGAGAGCGGTGAAAGAAGCCATTTTTGTGAGGAAACAAAAACCTTCTCTTAACAGAGGAGGAGGGTTAAGATTTGTTTTGCCTCGCATCTATGACGACATCCTAAAAACAACGCCCTAACTTGGGACAAGGTCAGCGACATGCTAATGAGTTAGGAGGGGTGAGACCTGCACTCCACTTGAGCATCCCAGCAGACAATAGGTCAGCGACATGCTAATGAGTTAGGAGGGGTGAGACCTGCACTCCACTTGAGCATCCCAGCAGACAATAGGTCTGTGACATGCTAAGGAGTTAGGGTCGTTAGCCTCAGCAGTCGTTAGACCTGCTCCCTTCTACATCAAGCAGACCGTAGATTGTTTATGAGTTAGTATCAGGATTAGGGTGTGGCTAACCACACCCATAGGTTATAAATCTCCAAGGCTCGGTCTGAGAATTCATTCCCTGAAGAAGTCCGCTAGGTTGAGGACGAAACGTCGGGAAAACTTGCTAAGAAGTACAGATGATGGGTGAGAAACCTTCCTTTGCATATTAAAATGATTGCATAAAACCTTTTGAACCAAGACCTAACACAGTGGACCGTATTTTATTAAATGATTAAATGGATAATCCAATATTTTTGTATGGCTCTGTCAATCATTTCAAGTGTAAACATTTTCCAGCAGACTCACATACAAAAAAAAACAAACTTCCTTCAAAGTGAAAACACATGTCATGTCATTACATGATTAATCCAATATTGTCTTATGGCTCTGTGCGGCCGGTTCTAACAAGATAAGATAAGAACTTTATTGATCTCACAACGGAGAAATGTCATATTTGGCACAGATAAAATCACTCAGGTTGTGCAAAAAGACAGGAAGTGTGCAAACATGTTAGAAAGACAGTGGCTTTTGTGCAAGATGTATTGTGTACAATAAAAACTACAAAGTGACTTCATACATTCATTATTCATAGGTAATACTAACGGCTTATTAACCGAGCGCGAGGTCTGTTTGGAGAAATATCAGAATGTTATATCTTAATGTACAGACCGAGCCGTGGCCAAGGTCTGATATTTCTCTGGACAGACCGAGCAAGCAAGGTTAATAAATGTTTTATTATATGACTCTCGTCTGTGTCTTTACCAATGCTTTTGAGATATTTGTGAAGTATGTTCATGTCCGAATTGGTTTTGTTTGATACGGGCTAAGGACCGATTGTCATGGTAACGGTCCGTGGAAAGATATCAAATGTGAAACGCGCTGTTCGGACCAATTGTCATGGTAACGGTCCGAGATGGGAAAATATCAGACCGCAAATCAACCAATCAGAGCGCGCGTTCGGTCCAAGTCATATAATAATAAATCATATATCTTCCCGGGGACCAAGATGTTTCATGCCTTGACTTAAACACCTATGTTCTTAACTGTCAGAGGTCCGTGTTCACATGTTTCCTCTCTGTGTGTGTGTGTGTTGTGTGCAGCGGGTCACACTCTGGAGCTGCTGGAGCCTCTGGTGAAGTTCCAGGTGGGTCTGAAGAAGCTAAACCTTCACGAGGAGGAGCATGTGCTGCTGATGGCCATCTGTCTTCTGTCTCCAGGTACCTCCTTTCTGCCTCCGCTCTCACTCAATGCAATTAGAGTCTGATGCCACGACCCAGTTTTGGAGTGGGCCCTGATAAGGATGACGCAGATTCTAAATATATATGGTTGAAAACAACAAACACAAAGATGGGATATTTTATACACATCATAATGATAATAATAATAATACATATTTTTTTGCTTTGGAAGAAAAGCAGTGTTTACAAAGCCCTGTGGCGTAAAACAACACAAGTCAATAAATAATTCCACCAAAAAGTGCAAAGAAATACAAAGCAGACAATGACAATAAAATACAACATGTAAAGTCTACAGCAGGCGCTTAATTAAAGGAGCAGCATGTTAAAATCTGGCCAAAAGTGGTACTGCAGCTTCTCCCACGCTCCATGACTCAGGTTGCCAGATATGCATATGAATCCAGCTGGGACCATAATAATAATAACATCTGAATGGACTAGAGTTTTGTCAACAAATCTATTACCAACTCATTTTTCTCAAAGTCTTCTCCGATAGAAATCCTTGTTGTATTTCTTGTTTTGTCATTAATGATTTTAGGATAATAACAAGACCCTTTTAGTTCTGTGGACACGTGGTACTTTAACAGTGAGATTAGCTCGACACAGCGAGTCCTGGCAACCCGGATTACAAACTTTCTGAACGGGGAAGAACGGGACATCGAAATTAAAACAATAACAAGATTTACTAACAAATTTTGACATTAAAATATCTCTAAACTAGTGTTATGAAGTATTGGAAAAGAGCATGGTTTATTAAAGCCTTTTGACAGATTAGGGCCATTTAATGATGACTTAACATGCAAATCTTACATAATGCTACTTTAAGGGCTGTTTGATAAAAAGTGGGTTTAGAGAAGGTTCGGGTTAGGATCGAGAATCTAAGGCTTGTTGGAGGTTAACGTTCACTAGTGTAGTTGTTGCAGAGGAGAATATCGTCACTGCTCATTATTATTGTCCGCTCTGCAGTGTCTTGTGTGTTCAGCTGGAGTTGAAATGTTTGTGTCTTGTGGCAGACCGGCCTGGAGTGCAGGACCACGCCCGTGTGGAGCATCTGCAGGACCGGCTGTCTGAAGTGCTGCAGGCCTACATTCGGGTCAACCACCCCGGCGGACGCCTGCTCTACGCCAAGATGATCCAGAAGCTGGCTGACCTGCGCAGCCTGAACGAGGAGCACTCCAAGCAGTACCGCTCCCTGTCCTTCCAGCCGGAGCACAGCTTGCAGCTCACCCCTCTCGTTCTGGAGGTGTTCGGGAGCGAAGTGTCTTAGCTCACACTTCTCCCATCCACACGCCCGCCCGGAGCTTTACAGGACGCAAAACTTCAACACTCAACAGCCTTCTCCACCAACAAAACCGGCAAATGTAGGAGAAATGTGGATCACCGTACAGGCAGACATCCCTTATAACCTCCTCCTCTGAACTCACCGCTGGAATTTGCTTGGATACTGCAAAATACTGCAGTTATTATTCTTATACTTACATTAACCTTGTGGCTAGCAGCATCTACCCTGATTTGTGCCCAAAGATTGTCTTGCCTCACTCACCCTGGACATATTTATCCATCCTCAGTGCATCCCCATGAGGAGAGATGATTGGCAAACGTATAGCTTAAAACAACTACTAAGCTAGAGCTTATTGCTAGCTGCATTGGTAAAATTTGCCTCGTATACCATCTATATATCTTTAAAAATTGATATTTTATGAATTATTCTAAAGGCCAGGGCTTAGACATACTCGGGTGAGATTTCTATTTTTGTTTTTGTTTTTTTTCTGCTAAACCAGAGGGCCAGAAAAGAAAGTTGAAAGAAGAGCATCTCAGAAGCGTGAAGAAATTTATGAGTAGAGGAGGTGGGACAGTTCTACAGGTGAAGTTCCTTTTTTCAAATCAAAAGGGAGTCTTCATAAACTAGAATGTATGTATAATGCTATATATAACATAACAATAAGCTGTTATATCTTTATAAAATATATATTTAAGATAATGAATCATGGTGGCTTCTATTGAAGCACTTTTATGAGTGTTGTTTGACATAGAGGATCTGAAGGCCCCACCTCTAACATGTGTTGAAGACAAATGTGTGCAGAGGAACGGAGTGTGCTAGGAGTCTATTTTTGTGACATGTGTACAGTGTATGAAAGTATTGATGGACCACAAGGGGGCGCTGCCAGGCTCTGAACACAAGGGCACATGTTCTTCTGCTCTTTGGACCTGTGACTTAAAAAACCATGTTTTTGGGAAAAATCCAAAATATCTGTTGAAATATTGTAGATTGCTGCTAAGATAGTCAGTGCAGTTACACACTCATGAAGGAAAAGGACCCACATCCTGAGATAGAATGTGGTGTATATGACTCTGTGTGTTTGTGTGTTTATGTATACACACACACTGCTACAGAGACTAACTTTGTATGCTTTGTCTGAATAACCACATGTTGTACAGTCGCTTTTAGTTAAGAGTGCTGTCCCATTATGTGTCATTGGTGTGTGTGTAACTGTACTGAGTGGAGCTAGATTGGAGCCAAACCAACTAGCTGCTGTTGCCTCAGGGAAAAGTTTGTATGGTTCGTATCAGTGTTTACGTGTGAGTGGCGTAAGCTTACAATCAAAAACGACAACGATTGTTTTCAAACCTCTACATCACTGTGATATAGTTCTAAAACAAAACAGGTCAACTAAGCTAAAGGAACTTTATATAAACTACCCATTCTTCATTTTACTCTCATTTTTTATTCAAATTACTATAATCTTTAAAAAAAAAAATGGACAGCTTTTTAATCAGCCTTAAGAAACCATGGTTTGAAGAAGGCAGCGAAGTAGAACGTGTCTTATATGATGAGAGAAAATAGCTTGATCGGGGCAATGGTTTGGGAGTTATTTCTTGTACAAATGCTCACGTCTGCGTCTTCTGACACCAGCCACATAAGCGAGGTTTGGGGATGTTGGGACATCACTACATATCATATCTCACAGTGCATGCACGCCCTTCATGCAGGCCTAGCACTCCCCCTTGTGGACGAACTCTGTAAATACCACTTTGCTATAAGTCTGTACATAGTTAGAGATTAATATAGGCTAAATACTAAGTTTTCAGTTGATGACATGCTCTGGACGTACAGCACTATATGCAAATAGTAGATGCCTTTTCTGTTCATTTCAGAATGAATGGACTGAAGGGCTGCGCCCGCGTCAGGGTGACTTTACAGAAACATAACGTGTGAATACACTTGAGCTCGGACTTTGTAAACTTTTGGAAATTTGATAATTTTTTGTCTGATGCAGTTAACAATAATAGTTTAAACATAATTGAAACAAATAAATACACAAATGTAGATCATAGCCGTAATTTATATTAAAATATAAACAAAACAATAGTAAATCTTTCAACGTTTGGCACTTATGTAAGACAATTTTGTTTGTACTATGTATTTGGCAAGGCCAAATAACAGAAGAATGATTGTGGTGACATTTGGTCACAAATACTGTTGATGAAAGCACTTGTAAAGTGGTCAGAAGCAAGAAGAACCCTGTGTCAGACACAAAGAAAGAGGTTCAAAAATATAACTAATCCAGAAGTGGTTCAGGTTTGGATGGAAGAACCTTGGGCGGCACGGTGGCTGAGTGGATAGCACTCTCGCCTCTCAGCAAGAAGGTCCTGGGTTCGAATCCCGGTCGGACCAGGGCCTTTCTGAGTGGAGTTTGCATGTTCTCCCCGTGTCTGCGTAGGTTTCCTCCGAGTACTCCAGTTTCCCCTACCACTAAAAATATGTCCAATAGTTCTGGCATGCGCCTCCTGTACTGGCGACCCCGCTCCCATCTCTATGTGGAGTGAGAGACAAATGCCCAAAAATTAACAATTGTAAACCGCTTTGAGACTCAGATCTGCAGTGAAAAGGCGGTATATAAATAAAAGATTACTTACTTACTTACTTACCACCATGTTTATAAGCTACTAGAGAAAGTCCTGTAAACCAGTCTCTGGTGGCTTTCCTCACACATTCCCATTAGTGGTTGATCATTCCGTCTGCCTGGGCCTTGAACTCAACGGGTGTATTCTCTTTGATTGTACCATGTGACAAGGGCGACCCTTCTGTCCATTCCCAGTTTATGGATGTACGGCTTTCTTCTTTTTCAAGTCAATCAATAAGCTCTGGACAATTATAGTAAATCCATATTTTTCATTGGTTTTCTTTTATGATTTGTTTTGTTTTTTTGAGTTTGCTGTCTTATTATGCTTGCGCTGAGACATCGTTTTCTAATGAAGCAGAGATGAGCAAATAGTGGACCTTGGAGACAAGCACCACTTGGACAGATTCACTCGGATTATTCTGGGACTGACATTGGACACTTAGGAGGAGAATCTTTGGATGGTCCCCTGCTCTGTATCAATGAAGCTATGTCCGACACAATCAAACAAACTAACACTGCCTATATTGACTGGAATAGCAACAGCATGTGTGTGCCTCTTTGATCATGATCATCTAACCACCTCTTTGTTCTGCAATAGCAATGTACAGCAGGAATTATAGCTTTAACCTCAACAGCTCTGCTTTTTGGAACCGACCGTGGCACACCAAGGGCTGATGGGAACGGAAAGGACTGTAGACACTTGAAACCGAAGTAGTCAAAAGTAGAAATGGTGTTTCAAAAATGAACATGTGGACTCTGAGAGCAGCAGTATGTTCTGTAAGCCTCTACAGACATATGTTTTGTTATTGTTTCTCTAAAGAACTCGTTGCCACAGCTGGAGAGCGCAGAGACTGACAAAAAGATTGCCTCCTTAAACCCAAAGTGTACCATTGTCACGTCACACATCGCAGCTCATTAGCAAGTGGACTTTCAAACAGCATCTACATCATCTACTTCATCAACAAATGGAAGCAGGGCGGAGATGGGGAAAACAGAACACAGTTCAATAGGTTTGTAGTGTGTATTATCACAAAAGTAATGAGTATTATCGCAAAAGTAATGAGTATTATCGCAAAAGTAATGATTATCATCAAAAAAGTTGTAAGTATTATTGCAAGTGTGAGCAAGCCATATTTTACCTTCAAACTATATTCAAGCATATTGCTTTTGAAACTAAAAGTCCGACTGCATTGCACTTTCCCAAGAATGTATAATAGAGGCATCAACACAGACTTTATTATATCCTAATTAAGGACTAGTTATGATTTGTATCAAATTACATGATTATTCTCAAGTTCTCTTGAAGAAAGTTTCCAATATGAAGCCACGGAGATACATGGCAAAAGAATATGCTTTTATTTTCTCACTAGAATTATATTATATTTGCACAACTCTATATAATGTTTAACAATACAATTTTACAGAGAAAAAGAATTGAATAACCAGATTTTTTTACTGAATGCAGAGACAGACTTATCTTGAATATGGCATTTTTAGCCAAAAGGACAGATGCACACCAGGTTGGAGCTGGACTGCTCATTCACCGCTGAAGTCACAGTCAAACGTATAACGACACCAAACATCAGAATCCTCAGAGCAAAAATATGAAACGTTGAACCTTGAACCTCTTCTGTAACTCGACAGTATTGCAAATGAAACCCTTTGAGCTGTCGTTCTGTCTCCGCTGAGCCGCCCTGCCCTCAGCCCAGGTCCGCAGTTACACCTCAGTAGCCTTAATACAACCTCACTCAGCTGGAATCAAATACCTCATCCACAGGATCTACGACAGCCTTTAAGGGAACCAAACACTTTCTGTCACACACACACACACACACACACACACACACACACACTTACAAAACCTTTTCAGTGTTGATTTAAACAGTTCCGAAGTACAGTCTCCATCAGAGCAGTCGGTGTTCGGATCCCAATGTGTTTCAATGTTAACTCTGCTTTACTCACCAGACCCTCCTCTTTGTCTCATTTCTACAACTCTATCAACTCGGCGCTGCAGTCTCCCCAACATACTACCTCTCCCTCAGCACATACTCGGCATATACAGTATAAACAAATATTTTTTTTGTTGCAGCTTGATTGTTTGATAGGATACAGTTGGTTATATATTTTAACACATATTTTTTGTCATTTATGTACAGTTTTAACGTTTTCATTTCTTTCGGATGCTGGACAATTTTACCTCAACTCTGGGTTAGTACAACATTTAGCCATTTCTAGGATTGTTTTACTGAAGTGTGGACATGGTTGCATGGTTATTTGGGAAAAAGTTTGTTAATATATCTGAAGAAGACTACGACAAATGCTAGCTGCTATTTGCATGCCATTAGATTGGCTACATTAGGTA